ATTTTATTTTCATTTCCTAAAACAAAGAAAAGTGCCACTCTAGTTTTGAAGTAAAAAACAATTTTTGAAATAATCCAACAGTTTATTTTCTATTAGTCACTGTATCTAGTGATGATTGAGAAAAATCGAAGTTCGTTTATACTAGAAGACATAAATTTCCTATCTTTTTCAACTGCCAAAAGGTATAAGTCCTAAAATTTTTAAGATGCTGTCATTATTTCAATAAATACTTACGTTTTTATTTACACATCCTGTACATATCTTGTTTTTTTGCAGAGTTTACACCTCGAAAAAAGAGTTTATACACTTTTCTAATTAAATTAATAAACCAGGAATTTTAAAAACTAATGTATCAAAAAACATTAATTTACTCAATTGTTGTGTTTTGGACTTAACCGCATTAGCTTCTGAGCGACTCATATGTAGGTTTCAATACCATAGTGTAACAACTGCGAACATTGCGTCATCCACCATCTTGTAATATTAAAGGAAGTTGCATAATCCTCTTGACATTGAGAGGCGCCAGCCAGACCAGAAGGGGAAGTCCCGAAGGGAAACTCCCGAATTTATAATTAACTCTTACTTTATACCATAGAACAATCTAATTCTTAGTCACATGCATTCCGGAGACCACTGCGAGAAGGCAGCTCTCACCAAACATGTCACTGTTATATCGTTCCATCCTTATAAAATATACGATAGAGGGGCCGTGGTGACGTGCTCAGGGGATATAGCGCTCGCTTCCCAATGAGGTGAGCCTTGTTCGAATCCTAACGATGAGGGCTGGTTGAAAAGAGTTTCGCACCCGGCTCGCACCAACCACAGGGCTGACATTAAATATTTTCAGTGGTAGACGGTTCATGGGTCAGAGTCACCTGAATCCCTTTGCTGTCAGGATAACCTTGGGTGGTTTTCGTGGTTTCCTCTCTATGTAGCACAAATGAGGGTTAGTTCAACCCTCCATGAAGGCAATTTTCTCCCAATATTTAATCCAGGAATTCCCTTTTCTTCTGAATTGGGTTCAAAATTACAAGGCTGCAGAGTTGAACATTGGTAGTCTTAAACTCAAAATTGGATTAGCTGTTCAAGGATGGTTAAGAATTATAAAAGTTATAAAATACAAGATAAACCACACTAACAAGAAATTTTATAAATGTCTTAGCTATTAATTTCAGCCATAGGGTCTTTAAGATTGATGAAATTTAGTTCGCCTATAGGGTGAAAATTAGTCAAAATCTTAGCAATGTGGGGACTAATTTTCTAAAAATAGGGTAAAATAATCAACAGCTAAAGCTACCACTGTCGACCCTGAACTTCCTTCTAATATTATTGATTCCATTTGTAGAAAATTTAAACACGCAATCCAGCCAAACTTCTATTCGATATTATACAATTTGATTGTTTTCAATTTGGAATTGAAGGTTTCCTGGATTGCGTGATTAAACTTTCCATAAATGGAATAACTAATACTAGAAGGAAATCCGCGGTAAATAGTGATTGTTCTAAAGTTCGAGTTTTAAAAATCTGATTGTTTTACCATACTAATCGAGAATCGGTACCCAAATTACTAAGATTTTGACTGAAGTTTAAAGTCGTTTTCTCTCCTGTGAATAAACAAAATTTCGCCAACCTTAAAGAGCCTATTGCTGAAATTAATAGCTGGAGCGTTTATCAAATTGGTGTGTGGTCTATTGTATATTAGTTCATATATATTACCATTAATTTCAATATTGGGAAACAAAATTTTTTGTTTTCTGTTGCATGAGATGTTTGAACGGATCTTAGATATTTTCGCGTCGCAAATTTCAAATCTGCAATTGTTTTCTCTCTACAAGCTACAGTTTCTATGCTATTTAATAATATATTCCTAACCAATATATTATTCACTCAAGAGAATACTAAGCATTCCCACTTCTCTGCTACGTAGGAAATAGGTAGAAGGTGATAATGCGTTTCAGTAAATGGTGTGATTAGTTAAGGTCATGTTTTTTTTTGCCTTAAGTATAACTTTCAAAGGAGTTAACAAGTGTATATGTACAAGTGTATATGTATGTCTATACTTTCTTTATAAAAATGTAATATAAATTATTATTATTTCATGTTTGTATAAATATGCATAGATTTATTTCTTCCTTTATTTATATAAAAACGCAATACAAATAAGTAATGATCTCTTTTCCTAAAGGAAAATGCAAAACGGCGACAACAAGAAAAAAGAGCTGAAGCTAGGAGACAACAACGAGAAGAGCAATTAGCTCTGAAGAAGAAAAATTCTGGAGGTAAAACTATTTTCCGAATATTTTTTAAAATCCAAATTATATTTTTATATCACTAATTACAATATTTCTCGTAGAAAACCGTCCACCATCTTTCTCTGGAAGTGAGAGTGATAATATCATCGATATGCTTCTTGGTGATATCAAAAGTGGATTTCATCGTTATGTAGATACTGGAAGTTTAAAATCAAATCGTGGAAAAGCAAAACGATCGTCACCTGATGGATCAACTGAACTTTGCCGTATGAACAGCTTGACATCCAGTGTTCCTTCTGAAGAAGATCCAACAGCATCACCAAGAATCATAAGACGAAGAATTGGATCTTCAAATGCCAATGGTTATATAGGAGATACTGATGGTATTGATACTCAATCTCCTGACATAACACCAAATAGCACTTTACGACGAAGGCGAAATCGCCTATCCTCTGAAGATAGAGAGGACAGTCTTATTGATTTCTTGAAGCAGGAAGGAAAAGTTCCAGATGGAGGATCCCTTGACAGGGCCTTGATTAGAAGGTCTGCAAGAAGGTAAATATAAATTATCTTTAATATATCTTCTGCAAGAAGGTACATGTAAATTATGTATTTAGCTCGTTCTGAAACGAATACGACAAACGCTGTAGCAGGACAAAACACAATTCAATAACAAACCACGATTTGAATTAGAGAACCCGGAAGCTTTAGATAAACTATTCTGTGGAGTATTGATGCACCACACACATATAGTTACATACTATTCTGCTGAAAATAGAACATGTTAATTCTTGACTGCGTTCTTCCTCGTTTCGAACAAAACTTAGTTTGAGTTTTATTGGCCACAATCAAATTAGTCGTGATTGCTGGCCATCACGCGTTGATACTTTTGACGTCAGTCTTCACTAAGCTGCTGAACTTGATCAAACTGCGATACTCCGTACCCTTTCTGCTCTTGCACACTGAGAACGTATCGTATGTCAAACTACCGTGTACTCTTACTTTCTACGGAAACTATTTTGACCAATACTGCATCTATCTTTGGTCCCATCCTTGTATTTAGCGCATAAGTATGCATGTGTACCAATTAATGCCGTACTCAAGGGGAATTGAATCAGGGAAAATTGTCCCAGGGTCCACAACTGCTTAGTGTCAAGTCAAAATCAAAAACCTTAATAAAAAATGTTGTTTATTCTGATTATTTGCTTTAAAAAGTGTAGAAAATTCCCATATAAATTCGAGAAAATATAAAAATGAAATAGCTCTTCAAAAATACTGCAAAATACGAAAATAAGACTTTTGGAATTTTGAGGAAGGAGCCTGTAAAATCTGCCCCCAAACTTGGTCACAATAAATAGATAAATCGCATAGATGAAACAGATGCGAATTAATTCGTAAGATGGTAAGGAAACTAATGTGTTCACAGAAGGTTGCAGGTTCGAGCCCCGAAGTTTCGGAAGAATATTAGCGATTAGATTGTCAAACTTCAACTAATTGCTTGTATATTTTTAATTTTATATCCCTTTAATGTATAATTAATTGCAACAAAGAACAGCTTAAAAATCTTGATCAAAACAAACATCACAAATTGCAAAACGACATCATAAATAGAGAATGAAAGATAAGCATTGAACTCTTTACATCCCAAAATCTTGCAAGCAAATAGCAAGCCGATCAGTTCAAACCTGAAGATTGTGTAAATTAGCTGCAGATTTATTCAAGTCATCAAATCGGCCGACTAGAAAAATGTAACTTTGAGTAAAACGCATTTTAAGTTTTCTTGACAAAAAAATGAGTATATAGATATTTTTCCTACTCACAAAACTTTTAAAGATACCTAACCCGTAGGATAACATAGAAAATAATAAGTGAAAAAAAATTTACTGTAATATCTCGTTTGTGTTAATTTGGGAAGAAAACGAGCATTTCAGCGTATAATTGCAAAAGAAAATATCCTTAGAATGTTATTAAAAATTCATTGAAAATCCCTCGCATAATATTAATGCAAATGTATTTTTTAAACCCCTTTTAACATTTATGAAAGTTCATTATTGATTACATGACCGCAAATTTGAGTTACAGCTTTAGATCAAAAAAACATCTATTATGAAGTGGAAAAAATCGTTATTGAGTCTTAAATTTATGTCGCATGTATATTTACAAGAAAAGGTGTATATTGTATTGTTTATACTGTTTTGTTTACTAAATAAGTTGTAATAAATGGCTAAAATATGAACCGTTACCCTAAAATAGAAGCCTTACGCAAAGTTTCTTATTTCATTATATTTTCTCTTCATTAAGTTTTACTAATATTTAAATAAATTCTTCTCAATTTAATTTTTTCTTAAGGATAGCTTTCAGTAAAATTTATAATAAATACCTTATATTAAATACCTTACCGTAGAATGTGTTTCAGTATTGTAGAAATATGCAAAATTTTGCAGAATCTTTTAGATCTCCAATCTGTAGTCACGTAATCATAAATAATGTACACGAATTTCCATGAATATTAGAATAGCATTTCTGCAAAAGTTTGCAAGAATACTGAAAAATGTTATCATTATGTTAATAATTTATAATACTATTTATAATTATACATTGAAATCATTTTTCAGAAGGAGACCGGAAATGATTGCTGCAGAATTGAATGATAGAGAACGCCCAGCATCGCCAGGCCCTTCACCATTACTTGAAAGAAAACCTATTAATTTAGATCCCGAGGCCAATAAACCAAAACAATGGCGGTTAAAAATTGAAGAATGGTTACAAGAAAATGAAAAAGAGCGAGAAAGAGAAAAGAAATTGAAGGACAAAATCGCTTTAGAACGTTGGAAACGTCAAGAAATGGAACAGAGAGAATTAGATTTATCATCTACTTCAGCTGATGCAAATGATGATCTTAAGAACAATCTTAAAAATACACCCATTTTAAGCGAAATAAAAACCGATTCTGAATTATATTCCAACAAATCAAGTTCCAAAAATAAGAAGAATTCAGAATTGAACGAACCGATGCCATTGAAAGATAAATCAAAGTGGCGAAAAAGTACTTTAAATGTTGCTAATAGCAGTGAATCAATTGATGATGAACGAAGGCGAAACAGAAGCAGAAAACAAAAATCCGATCCTGAATGTGAAGATACCATTAGTTTTTATTTACGTAGCCCGGAAGTTGATCATTACAATCCAGCAAATAAAAAGGAACCATTAAATGATGTAAACTCAAATAAATTTTTTATACCAAATACTGTAGATGAAATTACTATGAATAAAACGATTGTAGAAACACCTTCTCCTATACCTAACCCATACCAGACCTCAAAACTAGAAGCAGAACAAGCAACAGTAATGAAAGAACCAAATGTTGAAAATGTCAGCACTAATAAAAATAAAACATTTGGAAATATTACATCACCTGCTGCTCCAGAAACAACAGTTGGTCGAAGTCGATTTTATCAAAGTATGCGTGAGCCATCGTTTAATAAAATGGATAAAATCGAAAATAAAACTTCAATCGATGATCATGCACTCATAACACCACCCCAGTTAACGCCATCAGAAAAACATGCTATTGATAAACCAGAATTAGATGAAAATCAGAACATTAGTTCTGGTGTAGATGATGAAGGAAACTTTGATCGATTTTCCTTCATGAGAAAAACGACCCGAAGGACGCGACCCAGGCAAAAAAATGCAGATGGTGTTGTGACTATTGCAATCGAAACAGAAGGCGTTAAAAAAGATGATAATGTTGGAGATGATATTAAACAAAAAACGAATAGTAGTACAAACTCAAAGGATACTTTTTCTGATTCCAAACTGAAAGACACCTTGCCCAAGGAATCTAAAATATGCCATGATGAACAAATTTCGAATAATGATAAAAATAAAGCTATCGGAAATTTGTATATAAAAAATGTATCCGAACAAGTAAAAAATCATGACAATGCTGAAGATCAAAAAAGAAAAGAAAAGTCCTCCACATCATTGAAAGCCAGACTTTCTAAAAGATTACTTTCTCTCACTGAAAATCTTAAAGTGACAAAACCCTCAGAACCTTCTGATTCAAATTCTCCATCCACCAAGTCAGCAACCGACGGCAAATTTAATTTTTTGCAAGATTCTCCCTGTCCAAAGATAGATAAAGTTTTGCAAGAAAGGAGAGCAAGCTTAAAAGAAGAAAAACCAAACCCTCCTATATTAGAACATAGAGAAAAGATATTATCACGGCCAAGACAAGATTTAACTCAAGTGACTTGTAGAAAAATTCATGATGAATACAAACCTTTAATGGCTGAACCAAAATTATTGAAAGAAAATTTTGTTCCTGATGTGAACAACATTAAAATTGCCCATGCTACCCCAGTTACTCATAATGCCAAAATTATCGAGTCATATCCAACACAGAGTAAAGGAAAAGAAGAATCAGAAAAAGATGAAGGCTTCGAAGAAACCCAATCACAACTTTCTGAAGCTGCGTCTCAAGGGGCAGGCTCAAATTATGATACAGATTTAGCTGATTCACCTCGAAGTGTGAGACAAACAAAAGGAAATCATATAGAAACCATCAATAATGAGTCCTCAAGACCTGATCCTCCGGCAGTTTTAAACATCATTCAGAAAACTGTTGTTAAAGACATGGAAAATAAAAGAGAAAACTTGGCGATTCCTATTAAAGAATCAATTGAAAAAAGAAATTCTATTTCAGGCCCATCTAATTTAAATATAAAATCAGGCCAAAGTCCCCAAAATGAAAAAGGGGCAAAAATTGTAAATAAAACTTTACAAAGAGGAGCGTCCTTACGGAAATCAAACACAAAAATATTAACTAACTCGGCGGCCGATAAGCCCACCTCAAAGCAAAACAACTCGAATTCTCAATCAATACCGAGAAGGCCATCGATTTCCAAACTTCAAAATGATAAAAGCTCTTATCGCAATTCAATTGAAAGTAAACGCACTCCAATAAGAGGTACAAATTACAAAAACTCAAAAACTGATAAAAGTGAAGAAAATCCAAAAATTACTAAAAAAGTAGCGGAGTACACAAAAGCTATAAAATCGATGACTAATAACTTAAGGGGGTCAAAAAGATATGAAAATTATGACGTGACTCAATCAATGCCTCCCACACCTTCAGATGAGAATAAAACATTTATGTCTGGACTTACCAAGTCTGACAATTCTAAGAGAACAAGATCAACTTCCTCTATGTGCAGCCCTCGATCACAAAGCAGACAATCAAGCGAAAAATCTTTAGTTTCAAATTTTAATCCACCTAGTAGAAAAGGGAGCGATAAATCTCTTTCAAGAAGGTCTAGTGATCGAAGTCTAAATTTGTCTCGAAAATCTAGTGAAGCATCAGTTGTTACAGTTAGAAGTTTTAATAGAAGGAATCCTGTAAAAAGTAAAATTAACACGAATAAAACAGCAGCTACCGTAAGGAACAAGCTATATCCAACTGCAACTACTACAAATTCCCAAAGCAAAGCAAATCCACCAAAAACTTCTACTCCAACAAAACAAACTTTGGGAGTGAATAAACCTCTTATGAGATCAGTTTCAAATGCTAAATCAGTTACAGCTGCAAAACCAAATCCAGTAGTACGTAGAACTTCAAGTGATAAATCTTGCGGTTTCATGAAAGCTACATCAGCTTCTTCGGCTAAAACAACTGTTTCAAAACCTTCGCAAGATCAAAAGAATGCCAAACCTCAATTAAAGTCATCTTTTTCTATAAAAAATGAAATGCCACAAAACAAAGCTAAACCAAGAATTTAGACTTTTTTAAGTAAGTCATGAAATTGACATTTCCTTTCTCAAGACATTCCAATGAACAAATCTGTTGGGAGATAAATTTGGAATGCTAAATCAGTTGCAAAACCAAATCCAGTAAAACTTTATTAGACCTTGTGGTTTCATTAAAGCCACACCAGCTTTTATAGCTAAAACAATTGTTTCAAAACCTTTACAAGATCAAAAGAATTCCAAATCTCAACTGAAGTCTCTTTAAAACAAAAATTGAAATAGCTCACAGCAGAGCTAAACCAAGAATAGTTAAGCTTTCAGATAAACATTAAAATTATTTTTTCCTTTTTCAAGCTATTCCAATTTCATTTTTGAATAAAACTATTGATTTCTTACATATTCTAAGATTTGACTTTGAGAAAGATTTTCTATACTTAAAAGGAGATCTCAATTACGCCATCAATTAGCTGAATGCCTCAATGTTTTAATTTTCGAAATTTTGTTTATTTAGTTTGTTTAAGGGTTAAAGGAAAGGATAGTTAAAATGCTAATGACTGTTAAGATAAGAATAATTTAACAAAGAATATAAGTACGCAAGTAACGCGGGTTTTTTTTTTAATATTCACATTTTGGAAAAAGACAAAATTACATGTTTATCTGAATTAGGTGATAAACAAAAATAAATACTTAAATATTCTTGCCTTTGTCATCTACATGGGTCGTAGTGTACTGACAACTGTATTGTCTGTCCACCATAAGAAGACAACTAAACGCCATACGTATCTAATAGTTAAAATGGAGATTACGTAAAAATGGACTGGAAACTTTACACTGGTTAAACTTTTCAGCACAATGACACCCTACCATCGAAGGGAACTCACCTCGAAGGTCAATCGTCTTCGTACAGTGGAAGGAAGACACAATTGTATTATATTATTACCTCTTAGTAAGAATAAGACCTTCCTGAGAAACGCATCATTTTAATAATTTAAAAGACTTATAAATACACCTAAACTGTGCTGTGAATAATAATTTTAAATAAAACTAAATTACCTCCAGTCTAAATGTAAAAATTATCACCACTTTATATTTTTTATCAGCATACCACAATTATCCATTGATTACTAGTGTATGACAGTTAGAACGAAAGTTCAAGAAAAAACACTTAATACAAGTGACTTAGTGTGTGCATAAGTGTTCTTCAGGACTTAAAATCATATCTCCCTCCATCTTTATATATTAATCAAGTTTATCTGTTCATTTTTAAACTGTGCTGTTCAAGTGTCAAAAACTGTACTTTAAGTAAAATAAATTATTTTCTTAACTATAATTACAGAGTATGCAGTGACTTCAGTTGTTTCTATGCAACATATCTTTCACAAATTCTCTATTCTTTTAAACTAACATGGTAAAACTTGACTTTAGTACTTTTTGCACTAATTATCTAATAACCAATTCACTTTAAGATTTCATACAAAGTTGGACTACTAAAGGCAATTAATTACAAATAATCAATTATTTGCATTCATAACAAGGAAACATAATTAGTGACTAGAAATTTAATCCAGACTATAAGTAATCATGCCAATTCTCTGCAAATATTTATGCAAATCCAACAATTTATGTTTATCTAAAGATAAGCAAATTTTCTCTGGAAAAATGATGGCAAATTCCGCTTTACAAATTGTCAGTAAGAAAAAGAGACAAAAGAAAACAGAAAATAGGATTAAAGTAGTTTTTTACTACATTTTTAACACACAAGAAAGGATTGATGTTACATTTATGCCCAAATCATACACTAATCAAAACAGCTATATTATCCACAGTTAATAATGAAAATTTATTTTGAAATTTGTACTCTTATCTGGTTACTTGCACAAAAACCCTCAATTCAATTGCAAAAACTTTTTCTCACCATTAAAAATTATGTAATTTTAAATACTAACACCCAATTCCAAAAAAAGGAAATATGTTAATGATTTCAAGAAATGAAAATTTTATAATGCAACCTTCTTATTATATTATAAAAAATCATCAAAATTATTTTTCAAAAATTCTTTAATGATTTCAAACAAATTTTTACTATTTTTTTATAGCATAAAATGACATCATTTAAGAGTAAGAATTTTGTATATCTAATAATTAAAATTTTTGCAATGCTTTTTGAAATTAATAAAAATACTAAACACTAAAACTTATTATAAATTAAACAAAGTAACAAAATTAAATGATGATGTATGTTTAACGCAAAAGAAACAAGGCAATAGTGAGAAGGGCATCTTGTAAAGTCAGTATGAACCAAAAGAAGGCCTATTTTGTGAGATTCAGGTAGTTGGCAATATTATTAAAATGCATAAAAAAATTCAAAATTTTTTCTTAACAGAATTTGTTGCAATTTTTTTATGAAACAAGTTATTTCAATTTTCTTTTGCAAAAAGCTGCTCCATTTGAGAAAAATCAATTTTTATGTGTGTGAATGAAACCAAAAACTAACCTTTCTTTAAAACTTTCATTTCAACTAAAAAAAATATTAGCAATGTATTTAATCTATTGTCTTTTTATACCACAATGAGAAACTTCAACAGTTTTAATGAAAGAAATTTATTATCCAAATTTCGTTTATCAAAACATTACATAACTCAATAGAGTAGATACTCCTCACATAAAATGTATAATAAAATGTTTCATTTAAAATTTTGATCAACATCTATACAGTTAAAAATTGTTTATGTAAATAAAATGGAATTACTGATATTAAAAGATTCAGTACTTAAACTTCAGTTAATTTTGGACCATGTGTTAAAATTGGTCAAAATAGAAAAGTCATTTAAAATTTTAATGAGCACATAATACAGCAAGAGATAAAACAATAACAAATCATGTTTTAATTTAAAAAAACGAAATGCATAGCTGAAATGAATACGAAAATGTTTTGATTATATCCTTATAAAACATTTAACAAAAATCATGCAACAAAAAAGTAAAAAAAAAAAGTTTTAAAAAAGCAACAACTACAATGTTAAACATTTGCTGATGGTTAAATTTGAAAACAAGTAATATGCCAAACATATTTATTTAATTCAAAGTATATTTGTCAATATATGTAAAGGCATAAATTAAAATAAACGTAAATAATAATTAAAATTAATGTTTGCTTATACAAGGAAAAACTTAATCTACAACAAATATAAGGGACATTAACAATTTTAAGGTAATAATAAAAATCATCAATGTTAGGGATCAGATAACTATATTTAGTACAGATATTAGAACATTGACAATAATGATAAGATCTGTGCTAAGATAATAATTAAATAAAACTTTAAATAAGAGCTGTGATGGAGATAAAAACTTAGACAAACAGAACCAAGATCATAATTACAAATAAATATTTTAGGGGAAGTATAGAAATCAAGCACCTTTTGATTTTGCTTTTCATTTGTCTGAATAGTTGTTATAAAGAAAAATTTATGAAAACTTAACAGGAAAGGATGCCCAGTAAAGTAGTAAGTATTCTATCATAAACGTTAATAGCTTATATATTTGTTATTAAATAAAAAATTTAAAGAGAGATAAGTTTTTACTACTAATATGCCAAATATTTTTTTTTGATAAAGTAAAATTGCTTGTACAAAGTCAAATAAATTAAACATCTTCTATGACAGTTACTACTTTTAAAAATTGATACAAAGTTAACCATAAAACAAGTGTTTAAAAAAAGCTACAAAGCACAGGTAAATTTTATAAACTTTTGGAATAACAATTTTCAAAATTGATTGAAGTAAAAATTTGATAAAAATTTCTCAGAGGTATATTTTTAAAAAATTTCTAAAATAAATACTAAACAATCATTATTAATTCAAAATCTCTTGTTTTCTCTAGCTCATTCATTATCATTTCCCAAATTTAAAAATAAATATATCTTTTGTAGAACAAATAATTATAAATTATCATGGAACACTGGATTTCAGCAATCAAACATCGTAGGTTATAGCTGCTCAAAGTTTAAGGAAAGTGCATTTATATTTAATAAGCTAAAGATATAGATAAATTATTAAATCTTTCTTCCACAACCACAAAATTAAAAACAAACATGCAGTATATATTACAGAAATCACTTTGATAACAAGAAATTATTTTTTAAAATCACAATTAGGAATCTAGAAAATATTTTATTACATTTCATCTATAAATGCACAAAAAATTGTATCAAATTCTAACACCTAATTTTTTTTGCATAAATCTTGTTCTTTTTGCAGAAAGAATAAGACTAGTAAAATTTGTGCTAGAAAAACTGTCATAAAGCCATATGTAGTTGTAAGTTAATGTTAAAATTTATTCAGTTAAAACAGTTTAAAATTATTTTATTCTATTATTTCATTATGAATAGACAAAGTAACAAAACAGTTTATATTAAAGAAGAGATGTTGTTCAAAGAAGTTAACAATAAAAAAAATTAAATTTAAAAAATATATATGTATTTGAAAATAATTTCATTAATGCATTTCAAAGTAAAGGCTAATTATGAATTCCACAACCCATTCTGTTTAAATAATTTAAACTTTAATTTCATATCATTTAAACCCAATTATTAAATAAGAATATTTTAATACAATTTATATTTAATTTTATTAGATATATTTATATTATATTTAAAACTAGCAAAAAAATTAATTTAACTTATAATATGTAATTAGAAAAAAATTAAAATTTTTTAGTTGGCAATAATAATTTATAATTTTTTAACTTTTACTTTGATATATTTGCTGTATTCACTTGTTTTCATTAAAAGCAAGAATACAACAGCAGCACACAAACACATAAAATGCCATTTACAGTGCTCTTACATTTTTGAATATGTAAATAGTGATATTACAGGAACATAGTCAATGAAAGCTACAAAAAGAACAGCGTTGTACATATTTTTTATAATGTTATAATTCACTAATAATTTAATAAGTTCAATAAAATATGCCATTGATTAATCTTCAAGATTTCTTCACATGCTGAGTTCAATGTGTTTCAAGCATTTGCTTAATTTATCAGTCAGTCCAGAAATCTTTCTAGAGAATAATCAACTTTCATCCAATTATATATCTTTAAGTCATATCTGTACAATGAGAAGTTCATGCACTCATGCATGATTTAGGAAATACGTAATGTTTAGATTTGTCCTGAAAGTCAGAAAAAGTAAAATGTGAATATATAAACATTATAAAGATAACTTTAACATATTTTATGTAAAATTTCATTCCAAAAAATAAATAAGTGTGATAATTAACTAAATGGGTATAAAAAATATGGTATTTTGAAGGCTACTTAAAAAGGCACTTCCAGAGTCGTTTTTAACCTCTTTGAGACGGGTCGGGCGAGTCATATATACATTCTCAGGGTGTCGATATTTAGGGTAAAAAAGATGAAACTGGTAGCCAAACTATTTTTATAACAGTTTATTTGTAGGCGAGGCAATAATATTTTATTTTATTTAATTCACCACTACTTAATTTTAATTAAAAATTATATAGTTACACTTTTAACGCACAAGGATTGGATGTGTTAGATTTAAAGTGAAAGTAAAAATAAGTCTGTCAAATTAGCTATGCCCAAACTTAAGATACCGTTTTTTATTTTTAACTATCCTGATTCTGCACGACTACATTTATCACTCGCCTGTCCCGAAAAAGGTTAAGGATCGGCCCAGCGTGCCCAAGCCTAAAGCTCCAAGTTCCAACGGGGTCTCTTAGAAGTCAAAAGTCTCAGTTAAATTTTTTTTATCCTAATTAATTTGTTAAAAAAAGGTTAGCAAGTGAGAGAGTTTGAGATGAAATATTAAAAGAAAAATTTAGTTCAGTCATACATCTCCTCAATCATGCCATGTTGCAAATGATGGAATAATATGTTCTTGTAAAACAAGAACAGAAAAGGTGATAAGAACAGAAAGAAACTTGTTTTTGAGACAGCAATGCCAACATAAATGTGATCTGCATTCTCATAATTTACAACCGCTGAAAAAAATCAAGAACTATTGTTTTGCCTTAATAATAGATGGTGTAAAAAAGGAAAATATCAAGTGTTGGACAACAATCTAGGTCCTACATCACAACAGCAGATAATGGAAGTGTATCCTAGAAATCATATTCATATTAGAAGTTTTCAAAACCTGAGCAACCTATTAACCCTAAATAATTAGCTGAAAATATGTTCACAAATTCCACAAACAACAATAGTATTGCTGTTCCAGTGATCCTGATACTTCCACATACCCCTAGTTTTATTCCAATTGTACTAAGTTATTCATCGTTTCTAACGCTGTTCCTACAGCTCAAATACATTTTTCCAATGGCAGCACTATTCAAGCTCGAACAGGCCAAACAATTAAACCTCCACATTGGTTTAAACGCTATGAATGAACATTAATATATTCCTTAATGATTTGCATTTATTTAATTCCTCAAATATATTTTGCATTGATGCATTCCATCCACATGTTCCTATATATGCGCTTTATACTTTTATTATTAAAAAAAGCGAGATAGTATGTATTAGACCATTAATTTAATCTTAACCAAAGCATCTAAATTTTAGCAATTAACTGTTATCGAAACTTATCCTAACTGTAACCATATTCTAACTAGATGTTCTATTGCTTATGTTTTTAAAAATGTCGTTTTTTAATCATCCTGCTAACAACTAATAAGTCATCTTTAGTAACCGTTGATTTATTTTGTACATTATTTAATTATAACAACTAAATATAGAATATATTGGAAGTAAAAGTGAATGACCTGTGGTTATCACTAAGTAACTTCAATGGTTAAACAACTTCCTTAACAGTTAAGGATTAAAGTAAAGAAGATTTATTCAAAACTAAAAAATGCATGGAAATAGGTAGTCATGAAGTGTAAACATTGAAATCAAAACACTCCATTCTCTTCATCAAACATTATAACTTTAGATATGCAGGGGTTGGACAAAATATTTGAAACACTTCTATGCTAACTCATTTGTCCATATTTCTAAGAAATTCTTAGAAAAGCATTTTATATCTTAGAATTGTTTAGGTCATTTTATTTCTCATGCATATCATTGAATTTTAAAGCTATTAGAGGCTTGAAGGACTGGAAATAAATTAAGACAGAAAAAAGCGTATTTTTGAACACCTTTAGCCAAAAATTATAGCAATAAGCTTGTATCAATTACTTTGGTTATTATATGAGATAATTGCACAAAATTTCATAGACCACATAGAGATATGGATATTTTTTTTAATCAAAAAATAATTTTGTTGCCTCAAGTTGTCTTTTTATAACTGTAAAAATATTCAATAAAATTAAACAAAAATTTTAGAGTAATTTTCAATAAAAAAATTATTTTAAAATTTGAAAATAATTTGTGAAAAATTGCACAAGATATGAGCATTTAAAATAATCCTTTCACAATGCGCAAGTGCGGGAAACATTAATTTCCCCCCACATGATTTTGTTCTCAATCGCATTTGGTAACATAAGAAAAAAAATCTGATTTAAAAATCATGAAAATTTAAAAAGGTTACAAGCAGTTTTCTAAGTAGTGTTTGCAAATTTGAAGAGAAAGCTGCAAATGGTTAGGAGTTTTCTACATATTAGTATATTTTGTACTGTTAAATAGGATTCATTAAAAATGACATTTGCTTTATAAAGTACTACTCCCTATAAAAATCTGTTTTATTTCACAAGATTTCTTGCAAGCTTCAAATTTTTTTGTCTGAACCATCATTGTAGGATAATTAATTATAAGATTTTGCAATATGATGCAAAATAACATTTGTTGAAAACTCCTTATAATTTAGAGCTTTCTTTTTAAAAAAAAGTACAAAAGCTACTTAGAAAATTGATAGAAACTTTTTACATTTTCAAGGTTGTCGAATGGAATTTTTTCATGGGCTGTGATGAAAATAAAGTTTTAATGTTTTTTACATTTGCACAATATGAAAGGATTACTTTAAATGCTTTTTTTTTGCATGATTTTAAATTAATTGTATTCAAATTTTAAAATTATATTTTTGTTATTTCTTATAAATTACTCTAAAGTTTTTTTTAATTTTAATAAATGTTTTTGCAGATGTAAAGCAAAAAAAATTAATTTTTTATGAAAATGTTTATATCTTCATGAATATTGAAGCTAAGTTTAAGAAGTTTTGCGCAGTTATTACAGATTATAACCAAAACAATTGATACAAGTCACAATTTTATTGTGATATTTTTTGGGATGGGGTGTTCAAAAACATTCGTTTCGTTCGTAATTTATTGCAGGTCCAAGAAAACTCTAAAAGCTTTAAACTTCATTGATATGTGTGACAAATCACATGATCTTAACATTTCCAAAGTTATAAAAAAATACTTTAAATATTTGTCGGGAAATATGAAAAAATGAGCTCCGATAGAAGTGTTTTCATAATTTTGTCCAACCCCTGTGTATTAATATCTTTATATTAGCAAGCTCTTGGATTATGTGCATGTTTCAGCTAAAACTGGCAAATATGAGGTTTAATGCAATTTTGTCTGCTCAATTATAAAATTGAATATAATTGTATGTGACTTGAAGATACCAAATAAATAATTGAATATTTTTAGTAGTAAGTATAAAAATACATTAAACCAAATTTTTCCTTTTGTAAGCAATTGCAAGAATGGCTTAGTTACATTACCAGATGCAGGTGAGATGAAATAAGTTTTGATCTGAAAAATGAAAAATGCAGCTATCCATAAATTCTCTGTATAATAAATGCAAAGATTTTAACTTTGAACTATAACACTCGTGCTCAATTTCTTCTTAGAATAAAAACAATTTCAAATGTACTTATGTACACCAACATAGAGTATTATCTTAACTAATATGTCATATACATAATACATAAAGTAAATATTAAAATGTTATGGAGTGCCTAAAATAAAATTGAAAGAATTTTGATAATTGTAGCAGAGAACGCCTCAAGAAACTTGATTTGTATAATGTCTTAAGAGTGGGGGTGTGGATCATTCGCCAACTGCATCAATGATGTTTGAAATTTTTCTTTTTAATAATTATAAAAATGTTATGTTTGTAAAAAAAGTAATTTTCATCGTTAAAATTTGGAAACCTTGCTTTCCATTTTATTATAATAGAGAAAACAGAAAAGAGGGCAGAAATCACATTTGTTGGGAAATAACATAGAAAATAATGTAAATCAAAATAAAATAAAATTTAATAATTTAAACAAGGATATTAAGTGCTTAATTCCTCATTTCTGAGAAATATGCATTCTACAAATTTTGTAAACATAAAGTATGAAATTAAAGAGTAAAAAATTTGAAGAAAGAAAAAAAAATTATTTCAATAATAAAAGCAAAACTCTAAGGTCTTAAGTATTTCATTTTTCAAGGTACACCACAAGACAAAAATAAAGAGCTTCCAAAAATTTTTTCGCCATGGGCTTCACAGAGTCTTGCGAAAGTTCTGATCAAATAAAAGAAGTAATCAGACAAGGAAAACTTATATTGGGTCTATAACTGATTAGTTTAATCCAGGAAAGCAGAATAATATCTAAAAGATACATTTGTGCATGATTTTGAATTCTTTGAACTGTATATTCATGACCAATTAACATCAGATAAATGTTTTTAAATTAACAAAGTTTTAATTTTTACTGAATGTGTAAAGATTATTAGACTGTAAATTGGTACATTTATATAGTTTTCTGAATTAAAAAAAATATTTTAAGAACATGAGCAACAAATCAATGGTTAAGAAATAAATTGACAAACCTTAATCAACTGTAAAACAATTAGGACAATAAAGCTGATTATTTTTGACTTGAACATCAGTGCCACACATTCCATTTCCTAACAGCATTTGGCACATGCAACAGCGGAAGCATTCAATGTGGAAGTATAACCTCAAGGCTTCAATTCCCATTGCTGAGCCTTCAGCTGGTTAGAAAAAATGTATGAAAAATATTGTATATTAGAAAATCACAATACTAGACAGAAAAAAAGTTTTAATGCTAAGGTAAATAAGTTATCAACTTTGCATTGTGACTTAGAATACTTACAGAGGCCTTCTTTACAACATGAGCACTTGTGTACCTCTGATTCTAGAACATCAGAACTACATTCTATGTCTTCATAATCATTAAGACTTTGTGTGCGTAATACACTTTGTTTCAAACATGAATCAGAATTGTATGAAATTCTACTATTAGAAGAATTCCATTGAGCAGATCGTGGTCTTTGCTTTTGAAATTCACTTTCTCTATCATCCCATGTACGTAATGTGACATCTGGATGAGTATTCGATTGGGATGTCATGGAATATCTTCTGTTTGGAACATCTACTTGACTTGTGTGCTTACGACCAGCATCTTGTGCAATCCAATAATTTTGATCGTAACTAGTTTGTCGGAAAAGAGGTTCAGTCACTCTTTTACTAATAGATGCAACCTGAAAAAACAAACTGACATTTATTTTCAGTTAAGAACACCAAAGGAAAGAAGCATAAAGGATAAAAAGAAAATAATTAGAATTATAATTTCTCATTATAATTAATTCTATACACATTAAAAATCTAGTTTTAAAAAGTTAGAGATTTAAAGCCATTGTATAATAATGAGAAAATTATTAGGACAATTTTTGATTGTTGATATAGTAATAAATACTGTATTTCCCTCTTTAAAATCTATCATTTGCTACTAAATTCAGATTAAAGAATAGGTGAGAGAAAAGAAGGGAAATTGAACAATTCAGTAATTGAAAGAAATGTTTGAATAAGAAAATATGATTTGTATGATTAGTTATATCTTAGTGTCAAACTAAATTGATGTCTGAGTAGAGACTCTAGATTCTCAAGTAGCGCATGGATATTGTTATATCCTTGATTAATGCTGATCAACATTGTGACTACCAAAGAATATTGACGGCATTTTTAACATTATTGTATGACGTCCATCAGTTACAAGTTTTAAATTTTGTTACCAATTATTTTACAAAAAGTCATTTTATTGCTGAAATCTATGAGAAGAATATTGCGTTTAATTGTAAACAGAAATGAGTTATAGTTATTGAAAAACCTAGTAGGGGGGAAACTTTTTGCTGCATAATGATTTAAAAAACAAAAACTGCTTCAAATAAAAAAAAAACATTTTTTTTTCTCAAAGACTATATTAACAACCTTGGTGCTGTGTGTCACTTATCTTAGTGTGGCTGCCAAACAGATTCAAAAAGGCTACCATTTTTTTATGACTCAGGTAACAAGTGACTACTATTCTTAACATGCTAGTCCAGATCTCTTTGATATAGGCTATAGGACTAAAGTCAGATATGAGCAGTACTATATTAAAAATTGTTATGTTAACATTTAACAACACTAAACATCAGTTCACACTAGAATGTGAAGTGACAAGGATTACAAAATCATCAAATCTGTTTTACATGACTGTCATGCCAGATTTTTCATTCAAAATATTCATATTAGTTTTTATACTCCTTTCTGTTATTTTAGAATATGCTCTTACAATCATTGATATATTAAGTATTACTTCCATAAATGTTGGTTCTTAACATTTTAATATTCACTAATTTTCAAAAACATTAGAATTACAAGAGAAAGTTTGAAAAAAAACTTAAAATCTATTACTTAATTGCTTTCACATTTTTGGAAGAATCAAGATAAGTAAAAAGTACAAAAAAGTAGAGAAGAACAAAAAAGTAGAGAAGAACAAAAAATATTTAAATCATGTACTGTTTAAAGATTAATTTGTTAAAGAGAAATGCAGAATAGCAACAATAAGAAACCATCGAAAATATATTAAAAAAAAGGTATGAATAACCAAATTTTGAATAGTTTAGTTGTCTAACATACTGTATCATGCAACGTGTTAATGATCTTTTGCATTTAGAGATAGTTGAAAACCGCAAAGAGTAAAAAAAAAAACTGTCATACCCTCTCTGTAATCCATTTGTTACTATCCATTATTTTTGCTTTCGGAGCAGCACCGAGATTTTGAATATTTTGTTTTGCTTTATGTTGGGGACTTTCTTTAACTTTTGAACTTTCCTCTGAAATACATAAAAGAGAAAACATCAAAACACTCATTTTGAACAATTATGTTACTATTTTACTATATTACTAACAATTTCCCCTTAATAAGAACTTACCAGGAATGGGACAAGAAACAGATGTAGAGAACGAGTCATAATCAGATTCAAATACATTTTCCTCCTATAAATAATTAAAAAATAATGATAAAAATATCCAAGATCTATTAAGATATCAAGATAAAAACTATGTTACTTTCTATTTACAAATATTTAATATTGAATACAAGGAAAGTAATATTTTCTTAAATATTAATGCCAAAGAAATATTAATTTTTGAAATTCATCTCTGCTGAGACTTGTTTAAAATGTTGTAGTGAATAACATCGATAAAATATGAAGAAAAAAAGTTGAAACTCTTAGATAAGTTCAAGCTCTCTAAAAAAAAAAAAGAGATTTTTTCTATTCCACGACTGTAAAAGGGTATAACTTATAATAAAATATAAGTACAAATCAATCTATAGCCCTTTAACAGTACCTCGTTAGTAGTTGCCACCAACTCTTTCTAAAATACTACTTTGTTTCTTACTCACATTTTATTGTATCCTAGTTAACCCATTGGTGCAGAGGGGACACCAGTGTCCCTTTTATATATTTTTTCAAACACTCTAACAACAAATAAAAATATATTTAAGCATTTTTTAACTATAGAAAGCAATTTAACAGTTACTAAGAAAAATCAGTTAGATTTTTGGAATTAAATTTGTTCTAAAACACAAATTCCAAAAAAGTTATATTAAATTTTTTTTTATTCATATTCAAAAAAGTATTAATAATGGACTTTGTAAATTAAAAAATTATCAATGATGAATTTGCTTATCTTAGATCTAAATAACAGCAAATTTGAAAAATTATTGTTTGGAAGTAAAGCATGTTTGGAAATTTTTACCCTTAATGCAAAAATGAACACTAGTGTCCAATGTAGCATTTCATAACCTAGGGGTTTGAGTCAATTTTACCTTCATTTTATACCATTATCCGGTACTTAATGCTGGGTATTTCTACCTTATTTTAAAAAAGGGATAATTTTGATACATATTAATACACCAATGGAATTGTACATTTAAATGCTCCACGGTTTTTGGAAAATCTCGATAGTTTTAATATAGCATTATAATGGCTTGCGATTTTTGAATCACACATTTTAATAATCAATTGTGACATGCTTTATATGTGACAATTTTATAGTAAATATAAGTAATTTTCTGATTTTTTTAAGCTCTTACTACACTTTTCTACATGAATTAGAAAATCCCCAACTTTTTAATCTTGACATCTTTAATATGACATTATTAAGACTTGCACAAATTTCAAATCACACATTTTAATCATCACTTTAGATGTGCTTTATTTTTTACAGATTTCATTGCCAATACAGGCTACTTTTTAATCCTTTTTCCTTACAGTTATTGCTACTTATTTCCAGTTTTTTTTTTAAATCTGAATATTTTTCATACAATTTTATTATAACACGAGAACAATCAAATGAAAAATTTAAACATGGGTTTCTAAACTGTTTACTGTTTTCAACTTTGTGTCTGACTTTTTTTAGCTCAAAAAAGTGCTAAAAAAACATTTAAAATTTGACATTCATAAAATCTCTCATAATTAAATAAATATAAATATTCTGAAGTCAAAAATTTACGAAACTGAACTTACTTCAAATCATTAAATCATTTTACACTCTATAAAATTTCTTATAATAAAATATTTAATTTGCATTTATATATCTCAATAAATGCTAATTTTTTGTTTTTATTCATACATATTACAGTTAATTTATTTTAAAATAAACTGTGTCATGTGATGTGATGAAGAAAAAAAAGATTACTCTTCCCCATCTTTATGGGGCAGGGCCATTTTTTTAAAGTATCAGTTTGGTATTCTTTAGTTTTGAATGAATTTTATTATTTAGAAGAATTTAATTTATGCAAATATATTACTAGGATGACAGATTAAAAAATTGTGTCTAAAGCACTGAAATTTATATTTAAATTATCATAACTGCTGTCAACATGTCTAAATAATTAAACATGTGGCCCTTCATGTGTCAAGCTGCGGTATAAGTGCCCCTTTATTCAAAAAGGTTGTGCACCTCTATAACTAAAGAAAAATTATTAAAATGCTAAATACAATATTTCTAAATACAATATGCTAAATACAATATTTAAAACTCCTATAAATAAAGAAAAATTATTAAAATGCTAAATGCAATATTTTTCACTTATTTTGACCTAAGTTAACAACAAAAAATAATGAGAAAAGTATGAAATTTTTTTTTAATGAAAACTCTGCATGAAAGGGTTAAGATGCATAAATGATAAGGTTTAGTATATACATAGGCAGTTTATTACCAATTTTTTTAGTTATTAAAAAGCATTTTTATTTTTACCTTTCATGTAGCATTTTTTTTTCATTTTCACACTTAGTATATTTAAAAAAATGTTACTGACTTATAATAAGTATCATTTAAAATACTATTTTATTGAAGTGAATATGAAGAACTTACTAGATTTTCTTGCCAGTTTTCACTACTTGGATCAAAATCAGGCTTAGAGTTCTCTTCATCATCTAACAAATAACTTGAGGAATATTCAGCTGCAATAAAGTTCCCTGATTAAATCTTGGTTTGTGCAAAATTGTTCTACACAAAACAATCATGAACGCATTCCATTTTTTTAATAACTTTAAATTTCCAAAACTTTAACAAATCTGTCAAATGATAATCAGTTAAAATAATTTTTAAAAAATAAACAAATAATCTTATTCTGCGAAAACTTAAAGCATAACTTGATTGCAAACACATTTTCACTTTTACCATTATAATTCATAATATCCCAGTTACAAATAAATTAAATGATTAAAGAACTAAAAATAATTAAAATAAACATTAAATAAAGAATAAATAAAGCAGTTCACGCATTCCTCTTTTATTCACGTGCTCATTTTACTCGAACATTTCTAAATTTCAAAATTTTATATTTTTGGGAATAAAAATAATAAAGTTGACCTTCAGCTGAAATTGGGGATAAAATTAACCTTCAAGATAGCATTTCACCCCACTGATTCGCTTAAGAGAATGCCTTGCATATTTTTCTCTCACTTTTTTCCTCTTCATACCTGCAGTAGAAGAAATGGGGAAGAGTGCTTCCCTTGATCCTTGTAAGAGACTATTCAGGACTGGTTGCAAGAAGGGAATTCCTCAAAGGCTTCTTTGATGAAAGGGGAGAGCGACTGTTGCGCTATTATTACATTCTTGCAAACCATTTTTCCCCTGCATTGTTAATTATTTAAATTTTTATTGATCATAAATTATAAAAATAGACTGTTGCAAATTAGTCTGCCCAACAAAAGGTTAAGAATCACAATTTCATCTGGTGAGTGAAATGGCTTATTAACATAGAAAATGCACAAACATGCAAATGATAAAATCTTAAAAAATCAATTCAGCAAAATGTAATTTTCAAGCTCAAATAGTAAAAAAAAATCATTGGATAGGTTACTCCATTAGATAGGCTGCCATACCAATATTTAAAGTTTTAAATCATAAACCCCTCAGTGTATCTCCCTAAAATTACTGTAGTGTTCAAATCAAAACTAAGTATTATAAATAAAGAAATAAAAAAATAATTAAAAATAAAGAAATAAAAAAATGGAAAAGGAAACATCACAAGACATCACTTATATTCACATGAACAAGGCAAATTCCTCACTTGCTAAGCAACTATAGGGATCCAAATAAACCAGACAAAGGTGAAATATTCTCAAAGTGAAATGTGGGTGATAATTCCTCAACTAGTTTATTATAAATATATAAGCCCATTTTAAAAATTTCAGTGCCAAGCTTTAAAATATTATGATCAATAAGGATGAAACATTATGTACAAAATGCAATGTGGCTAACTAAAAGCTTATCCAAATCTAACAGCTTAACTTTGTTTAAGCATAAAAATATATTAGTTTAAAAAGCTAACTTTTTATTTAGATAGTGACAGTAACATTAATTTTTGAAAAAATACTTTATTTTTTGCCTGTACATGATAAAAGCTTGGATATTTACTGTTATACTGTTGCTAATTAGACAAAAGTGGTTATTTCAATGCAAGAATATTAAGATAAAATTTATTCTTGTAACTCTACATTTATGTTTTGGTTTGGGTTCATGTAACCAGTGTTTATTTATAAAAGGTAAAGTTCTGGAAGGTTTTGTCATCCATAGAAAGTGATTTAAACACATATTTCTATCTTTAACTAGTAATACCTTAAGAAAATGTAAACTTATCAGCTACAAAATGTATCAAATTCTGAAATGAACAAAGCATAAATATTTTAATTTTAGCCCAAATTACAAAGATATTTGTTTGAAAATGAAAAACATAGAAAGTTAACAAAAATACTCACAATATAATCAATATAATTCACACAGTTACTAGTCTGCTATTAACTCTTTCAAGTATGGTGCGATAAACACTGTCCCACTTAATTTTGGAAATTATATAAACTACTAAAATTGTAATAGTTTTAAACAATACAGTACTTAAGAAACTACTTTAAACATTAGAAAATTCAAACAAACTTAAAGCAGATTGCTTTATTTCGGGCATACAAAACTGACAACAACCCTCATGGCTTTTTGACTAAAATTTTGGTTCAAGTTAGTGTGCCTAACAAAGGGTTAAATAATCACAACTTCCTCTAGTAAGTGAAATAGCTTATTTAAATCGAAATGCACAAACATACTTTAAGAATGTGAACAAAAAATTAGTTTACTATTATTTCAGAAACAGAAAGATGGGTGAGCTAAGGCAAAAAATTATTTAAAAAAATGTAGTTTGTGAGCTCAAGAAAATAAATAGCATTAATTAAATATAACATACTCATTTATTTAAAATCACAAAGCATTTTACTTACCCTTTAAAGTTTCAAAGGGTAAAGAAACTGCTGAGGTTTAAACAAAAACCCTCTTTTGGTCTGCCCACTTTTTGCATGTGAAACATTTTATTACATGTGAAAACATTTGTAGAAATTTAGCAATTTACAACACCACCAGATGGTTAAGTAATTCAACAAATAATGCAATAAATTGAATTGAAATATGAATTCATTTACAGAATATAAATAAATTTTAATATAAATAAGTTAAATAAATATTTACATGGCACTAAATCTTGAGAATCTCCAAAAGTTGACTGAGTTGACAAAGATGAATCCGTCTCAGCTATAGTCTCAGCTATAAGCAATCTTTTCTCTAACCATTGGTTTTGTTCACGTTCTAACTTTAAAATTTCTTCTAATCCTGGTGGTGGGGGTATAATGTTGTCTGAAATATTTTATTATTCTTTATGATAAAAACTTAACTTGCATAAAAGTTAAAGAAATCAGTAAATACTAAAAATGAAAGCTAAAAGCTCAGTAAATTTACAGCATATAGGCAATTTCAATAAAAAAAAAAACATAATTTATTAAATATACAAATAAGTAAAAGATAAAATGGTAATAGCACTAATACATAACATAATTGATAATAACACCTAGTTTATAATTCCTAAATCATAATTTGTGATAAACTCTTTGAACTCAAATCAGGATGTGTTATATATTTATATACCACAGTTTTAACATGTGCTGTTACTTACAAGGAAATTTATCTTCATTTAAGTTTAAATTATTGCAATAGCTATTGAATAATTACTGTGTTGTTTGTAATAAAATATTTATGCTCTGTTTGCAAGTGTTGTTGATTATAATTCTATAAAATGATAAGCCTATAAATCCAAATAATAAAAGCATATTATTCTATCTATTCTTTACTGAAAGTAAATTTAGTTTGGGAGTAAAGTACATAAATCAAATTTTTTTTCATGATAATTTTATTAACTATAAAGAAACATCACTGTAATTCTTAATTTTATATTTATTTAAATATATTATTTAGTTAAAATAGTTTTTAGCATTACATTTTTGAATTTTTACATTCTCCTTTTTTAAGTGAACATATTTTTCTGTCCCAGATGCGTTCATTTTATCAATATTTTTCTGAATTAAAATTCAACTCAAAAGTAAAATATACCATGCCTAAATAGTTATTTTAGCTTGATTATTAATAAACTGGTGAAATACATGGATTACTACATATATGAATAATTTAAAAGTTACTATAATTCAGAATTTGGTTTTCTCGAACATAAATGAGAGTCATCTGGTACTGGGAGGTCAGTAAAATTGGTCGGGTCTGGTTACCCAGTATCAGGTAGTGAAATTTTTTTGCTAGATTGGGGTAATAAATATCTGGCCAGATGGGCAGAGTACTAGGTAATTGTTAGATAACTGATACAATTATTGGATAACTGATACATCTCTCATAATTTTTACTTACCAACATCAATACCACTTTCAGTTGAGTCAAGCCCTAAAAAGTCAGATCGTCGACGCCACAATTCTTTCTTTATTCGCTTTGTTGAGCTTGAGCGAGTTAATGATAATGGCTAACAGGAAAAATGAGAAAAATTTACAAATAAAAACAATTTAAAATTATTTCAAATACTTAATAAAACTTTAACTAAAATGATAATTATTCCACTATTCAAGAAAATATGGAATCAAACAACTTTTGTGAAGAGACAATTTTGGGGAAAACTGGTAGAAAGATCTTTTGTAATCCTTAGAAAATGTTCAAATTAATTAAAAAAGTATATATAACTCAATTAATCAAATTGCATTTGATATATAGAAAAGATAAAATGATTATTTATGATTCAATGGTGGTCATTAATAAAAGATTTTACTAGTAAGTCAGTTATGCAATAGAAATTAAAGCACTAAATTTTTTTTATAATTCACGTATGAGCTTTTCAATTAAAATATAAAGTGAAATTACTGCAGTCAATACACAAAGAACAAATCAGGAAAAAAAATCTCAAAAATTTAGAGTAATTCTAAAATAAAATGTACTTACAATTTTGTTTGCACTACTGAGAAAAAATATTATTCAAAGGAAATCTTTAACCCTTTACATGTCAATGTTCCAAAAAGGGAACACAGATTTTCAGTTTAAATTTAATGAGCAATTAAAATCTGAATAACTTTCATGCACTTAAAATTTACATTATAAAGTATACTTTCCATTTAATTTGGTTTTGTTTCTATAATTATTTGGTTTTTTTATGAATTTGAGATTTTTTATATAATTTGTAAAGTTTAATTCTGCTTCTAATATAGTTTACCAAAAATGCAATTTTTACAATATGACAACAATACTTTCAAGCTTTTAAAGGGATAATATAACTCTCTGTTAGACATATTTGAAATTTTACTATAAAAACTAATGTTCTATTTTTGGAATATTGGTGTTTCAAGCATTCTATTTTTAAATTCCAAGAGATGCATTGGGTTAAGTTCTGTGCATTTCATTCAATTGGTATTATGAGACTTATTCAGGATATGTAAATAATGTTTGAATGGAAAAAGGCTTGATGACCATGTTTAGGTTCAACTTCTCTTGACAGGAATTTGCAGGCGTCTGATAGCAAACAGAATAGCAAAGACGTAATACTTAGCAAGTAGCAAGATTTAACCTCCCTAATACTCAGTGGTTTTCTATTTTGTAGAAGATCTTTCTGATAAGGCTTTTAAGGGCTGTAATACTTGTCTGAGTTATTTGACAATGATAAAAATAAAATTTATCATCTGAGGGCTTTTTAATGTGTTCTCAGAAATGGTATTGTATAAATTCCTGCTATTGATAATTTTTCTTTCCAGAATCCTGTAATTTATTTTACTTTGGAGATAAATTTGTTATTACAGAATGAATTTAAGAAAAGTGTGTCCTTTTTTTTTTTTGCTTCATTTACAAATTTTTCTTTCTCTTATCCCCATGTCTGAGTGATGCATAATGATACAACAAACAAGGGCCTTGTTAGACAAATTTTCTGATTCAGATTTGGAAGATCTAGATATTGTCAGCCAGATGAGCCAAGCATTTTAATTTATATAAAAAACATAGAAGAAAACGATCTAGACCTGTTATGCTACTCTAACTCTGTAAAATATTGTTTTTAAAAGTAATATTGGAGAAGATATCAAATCCTAGAACAAAGCACAAATTAAAAACAAAAAACTTAATGCCCAATTATAAAATCGAATATGAAAGGGAAATTCGATGAATCAACTGAATTAGAAAAGCTGGAAGTAATTTTGTAAAAATGTCATGAATGCATGAATTATGCTCTTTTTGATATATTTACTATTCCTGGAGAATTTCCAGAATATATTGAGTAACCAATTTATGCTCTATAAAAGTTTAAATAGTTAATATATTTTCTGAACTGATATTTTATATTTTCATGGTCTTCTAAATGAATACCATTTTGTTTCAAACAAAGATAAGCACTGGAACGTAGCTGAAGCAAAAGTAACTACCATCAATAAAGCTCCTGCCAAAAACCAATGTTCTAGAAATGGAACATGTTAAAATTCACACTTAAAAATATTTTCTCCCATTTTTTTTTATTTTACTGTACTTGTATGCTTTTTATTAGACAATTTATAAAAATTCAAATTATTTAGTTAACCCTTTCAAATTGGAAAAAGGAAATTGAAATGCCGGATTAGGTGACTAAAATTTGCTTTGTGCAATTAATGTAATATGCTAAATATTAGTATATCAAGCTCTCATGAAAAATTCAAGACCACAAAGGGAAAGTTAAACACTCGTCTGGAGAAAATGGAAGCAATTGAAAATCTTTCTAATCCAGAAGAATTAGCCTCTAATTTTAAAGCTAAACCTTTTATTGTGCTGTATTTAAACATAAATGATTAAAAATTATCATGACAGAGTAATGAATACCACAGAATTTGTAGCTTGAATTTTAATTTGATTGATAAATTAATGCACAAATAACAATGAATTTTTGGAACCAATAATAATTAGGGACTACAAACCATCAAGTAAAAACTACTATCAAAATTATTTTTATTTATTTTCCTATCTTTATTTATCCATCCTGAATCATGACTTTCTACATCTAATGCTTCAACTGACTCATCATTGACTTTTTGTAAAAAACAATGCCCAACATAAAAAACCTAATTTCAATTTTCAAATAATGGTCAATTTTTAAAAAAGGTTATAATTTGTATCTGAGACAAATAGCACAAAAAATCTTTATCTGGGAATTTTTTCCCGCTAACCAATAATTTATAACGATTGCATATTTATTCATATTGAATATTTCTAAAAGATACTATAGCAATTATAAAGCTAGCAGCATTTAGCATTGTTTTCCTTACATTCTTCAGACCAAAAAGAAATAAGCTAAAGCGGTATGAGTCACTTATTTTGAAGTTCATGTGAAATTCAGAATAAAGTTACCTTACCAATTGCTGAAACTAACAGAACTGCTGCCATATTAAAATAAAATCTTATGACAAAATTTACAGTGATAACTTTCGTCTAACAAGTTTGGTTAGTTACCTCCTCAGTGACTATTTCTGGTTCAACTGGAGGAGGTGGAGGAGGCTCTCTTGGAGGTTCACGATTTTTTGGTGTTAAATCATCTAATAAATCTGCTTCAGAATAATAAATCCAATCTTGATTTATTTCACTTGCTAATTCCAAACCATCATTAATATCCTGAAACAGTTTTGAATATGTTAGAAAGGAAAAAAAGAAAAAATAATTTTTTGATAATCAGACTTTATTTTCTTATGGTTTTATCTGCTACCTTGTCTTTGGACCTTACTTTTAAACCTAATTATAGTCTTAAGTATTTAAGGATAACAACTAAGAATAATTCATAGCATATGGGAAGTGATTTTAGAAGAATAAAGCTTTTAGTACATATTCTATAGAACAGTCTATGAGAAAAAGAACAAGATTTTTTAGTATCCAAAACCGAATTAACTTTGTTGTATTATAAAAATCCAGTTAACATGGTTTACCCACTTACGGATCTGTCCGTAAAAAGTTGTATTTTAACCTGCATTTTTTTCCACATAGCAAAACTGGTTATTTCATGTACTTAGATAGAGAAATGTTAAAGGGAGAAACAGTCTCCCAATTCTGCCCTTTTGCTAAACCGCCAGTGGGTTAAGTAAAATTTTTAAATAGCACTATTTTTGTCTACAAGCACTAAGTCTGTGTATGGACATCAACTTGCACACACCAGCCATAGAGAAATTTTTTTGAAATAAACAATTAGTTTAGTGCTAATGCTGCTGGTCAAGAAAGATACTGGGAACTAGACTTTTAAAAACCATTTACTATCAAAAACTAAATCATATCAAAATCAAAGTTCAAACTTTTAGGTGTGACAAAATACATTTGAAGCTGTATATTTAATCATATCTACAACAGTTTGGTTAGAACTCAACATGAAATACACTGAGCTTTTTTCAGAAATTTAAAAAAAAATTTTTCAAATGAAATCAATTTTTTACTTACATCTCAATTTGATAAAAAGAATTTTTATACATAATCACATTAACATAAAGTAATAAAATTTGAATACAGATAAGCAATATAAAATCAGATTAATTGAAAAGCTTCTTTTCACAATGTCAATTGAATAGCATAGATTCAAATGCCTGTTAAAGGGAAATTTTTGAAATAGTATTCCCATAATATAGGCCAAAAAGCACATTATAGCAAGCTTCTCATTTATTTATATTATGTATTTACCACATCAGCATTTCCAGAGTTATTTTTAGCTACGCAGAAAAGAAATTTAAAATAATGGTAAGAAAATTAGGAGAATGGTAATATGAAATGTCATATGATTTAGTTTAAATTAGAGAGAAATTATAATATCTTATAAATGCATTAATAAAATCTACTTAAACTTTTATGATACAGTACACGTATATAATTTCAAGAATTCCGTTATTGGAATCCTATTGTTGTAAGGAGTTCTAGCATGAAAATTATGTGTTTTAATGCATTTTTTGGAAAATTCTTTTGCAATAAATATTGCCTAATGTTGATGAAATCTACCAAATTCATAATTTTCTAATGTAATGTAAGTAAAAATTACCCAGATCCTTATTGAATATGTTTTTTCTTCCCCATATTTTTTTTCAATCATTAACTTTGTATTTATTTCAATCAAATGCTGATCATAATACACATGCTTCACAAAAATTAGAAAAATTGCACTTTTTTAATATTGAAACAAAAATATACTATGGCCATGCAATAATTTTGAAAATAAAGTTTGATATAGAAATAATACATTTACCCTAATTACATTTAGGAGACTAGTTTAACTATTTTATAACATTGTTGTGCAATGTAGTAACAAAACAATACAAGGTAAATTTAAAACATTAATAGAGGAAATTAATTGGTCAAACATTTAGACATTGTACAGTGAATATTATTAAAAAATTGGAAGTTAATACATTTTACCTCTAACTAATTTTTTCGTTTAACACTTTCTTAACCAAAAGCATTATAGAATACTTGGTAAACTTGTAAGTAAACTTGATGGATTGATATAAACAACAGAATATGTAATGCAAGTAATTCCAACTTGCTTTAATAAATGAAAAATAAAATAATTTGTTCGCAGACATACCTCAAAATTATCATCTTGATGTTCTAACTGTTGCATTAATCTTTGTTCAATCTCATCAATAACATCAAGAGAAGTAATTTGATCTAAGCTTTCATCCAACTCTCTACGATATTCTTCCTCATCAATGAAAGCATCATCTGACAAAGCAAAATCAAGATTAGCACTAAAATCAGGTTCATCAATGTTATTTCTTTGGAGTTCTGTACATGAGCTAAGATGTACTGCATTGACATTATCAGTTGCAGTACAATTTAAATCAGCAGTTTCTTTCTCTGACTCATCTCTAATAGTTTCTTCTTCTTCATAATTGTTCAAATGATTAGTTGTTTCCTCACCATTTGACTCATCATTTGGCAGTGGAGATAGGTTTGATGGAAGAGTTTCAATAACAGTTTCAGTATCAGGAGTATCTGATGATGTAGTTGTACTTGCTGACACCTATAATGTTTTATACAAAATTAAATACTTCAAAAACACATTTATCTAAAACTAATGCAAGCAATTTCAATTATCAAAATAAATTAGGTCATTAATTTTTTCTTCTATATAGTCAATTAAAATGACAAAAGTAATTATACATTTTTTATAGTTTAAGAGCAACCTGTTGTAAAGAAGATTTTTACAAAATTTTAAATTAGCAATTTAAAAACTATATAAGGTTAAGTAAGCAGTACAAATTTTTGCTAGCATGCGTTTTCTTTTTAAAAATTGTTGTCAATCTAATAATAAATTAAAAAGTAAGAAGTATCATGTTATATCAAGTACAAATATATAAAAATTGAATTTATTAAAAAAAAAAGAATGCAAATTTCCTTTATCTTCATTTACTCAAAAACTAAATATGTTACATACTTACAAAAAATCTCTATTAGGTACATAAATAAATTTATGTTCTACTTACCCCATCATCATCATCAGTTTTCTCTAATGATAAGCACAATGGTGAAGGATTATCTTCAGCAACTACATTATCTGCATTGGTATTGACAGGTGGGTTTTCAAAATCAGGTGGTGCAAGTTCATTAATATTTTCTTCTTTAGATTCCAAATTTAAAGATTCAAGTACAGTACTGCATATATTTATACTTTCTATATCTTTACATGCTGGATTACAGGCACTTACATAAATATCATCAAGTTTATTTGTTTCAGAGTCTACATCATTATTACTACTTGGTATATCCTGAGCAAACGGTGTGGGAGTAAATTCCATACAATCACTTGTATTACTATTATTTACATTTTGAAAAGACACTTCAATGGCAGTGGTGTAAATTGGAGATAAATCTCTTTCAACTAGAGTTTCATTTACTAAAACTACTTTATCCTTAAATGTTTCAACATCTGAACTTATTCTTTTACTTATGTCTTCCAAATCAGCACACGAGTCCTGTATATTTTCAACTGCATTTTTTTCTTCTATATTAAGACTCAATTGATGCACAATTTTATGTGGTTGACTTGTGATATTTAATACTGTGATATTGTTATTGACAGATGATAGTTCTGAAAAACAAGAATTGTTAACAGAAGTTGGTGAATGAAATGCTTTTGCTTTCTTTTGTTCAAAGTTCTCAGTTTCCTCAACTTGCAATGTATCAGGAAATGAAATCGGGTTAACATAATTGAATTGTTCATTATTTACAGGTTCTAAAGGAAGATGAGTAGTATCATTGGCACCAAAGTTGTCTATTTGAGACAAACTATCACATTCAGAATCATCTATAGTTTGAGATTTAGTTAACTGTTTTGGTCTAAGTTTAGGTTTGACAGGGACAGGTGGAGGAGGATCTTTTTTGGCAACTCCATTTTTCTGAAGAGATTGAGAAGAAAAATCAGCAGAAAATCTTTTTTCAATACTATCTCTCTTTAAATTTGAAGTTTCTTCTAACAAACAAGAAGCCCTACGTTGAATAACCTTTTCTGACTTTCCATTTTCAAAGGCTGATCGTCGTCTCAAAACTAATGATTCTTTGACATCTGTCTTTACTGATGTATGGGAAGTGTCAGAGTTCGAATTGACACCAGAGCTAAACTTTGCAAGTTTTTCAGCAAATGAGGATTTATTTGCAGGCTTATTCTGTACTTTCCCTTTTGTGAAATCTAGAAGACAAATTAAATTTAAATAAGCTTGATGGATAAATTGAATTGTTCAGTGATCAATTCCCACTGAAAGAATCAAATATAACAAAGAATCTTAAAATAATTTACCCTTTGAAGTAACTCTAGAAATTTCCAAATCAAGAACTCCTGTATGCACAGCTTGCTTGATTGTGAATAAAAGAGAAGCATGACTATATGCGCAAGCAAGTTCCCCATTCAAAGAAACTATTTCGTCTCCATCTTTCAATCCAATTAAGTAAGCTGGGCCATCTAGATAATTAATGATAATGGTTTTAAATTTAAGTATGAAAATCTGTAAATAAAATTTAAAACATTGCATATCATAAGTCTTACAAAAAATAATTATTGCAACAGTTGGGAAGCACTGTAAAACAGTATTAAATCTATACAACAAGAGAATTTTCTTTATATGAACTTTAAATAAAATGACTGATTCTATTTTTCTCGAAAATTTTGCTAATTAGAACTACTTCTCAAAATAGGACATCATTACTTAATCAATGAAATAAATAAAAATTAGCAACAGATATGGAATAATAAGCGTTTTATTGCCAGATTTGCATATTTTTTATAATTTCCTGCCTGTAAGCTTGTGCAATCCCACTGAGAAAATGCTTAGCTTTCTGGCAATTCTTTATTCATTAAACCATGTAAATAATATGATAGAAAGCTATTGCATAGGTTAATAATTAGTGTTAATATTTTCTTCATAAAAATAAAGTAAAATAGGAAGTTTAAATACATAGATGGCTATTATTTATTTTGCTGTGCTTTATTGAAAAGAAACAAAATTGACTGTATTTAAATATGACAGTAAATAATAACAATGTATATTAGGATTATAAAAACATTCTTGAAAAATGATCTTTTAATATTTATTTTGAAATAATTGTGTAATGTTTAAGAAAGCAAATTTAAAAATATTTTTAGTTACCGTAAACCGGGGCGAGTCTACCCATCCAGAGGCGAGTCTACCCATTTTAGTTTTATTTAATTTTCACTCTTTTAAATCGCAAATAAAAATTTTTTTACCGACGGAGGACTTAGTTCAGACTCTAATGAAGATGGCGCTGCAGTAGTTTCATCCGTTTTTATTTATTTGGTGTCTTTTTAACCGACCTGTTCAAACGTCTTTTGAGAGATTTGTATTGAAAATCAGCAAACTTTTAGTTGGTGCTCCGTAAGTATAATATTATTATTACTATTTTCACTTTGGTTAATTGATAGACTTATCTAAGACTAAGATTACATTAATTTTATATGAAAAAAAAACAAAAAGAATGTAAGTTTTGCTGTTGTAAACAAAAAGCCAGAATTCACGGGGCAAGTCTATCCATTCGTATTTAATTTTAATAAAGCATAATAATATAATTTAGAACTTTGTTTATATTAAAATTAAGTCATTTTAAATGAATTTGAGTATATTATTTTAATTCTGCATTGATAAATTTATCATTAATAAGAAAATTTATAGGTTAAATATAAATGTAAATATAAAATATGTTTATTTTACCTATTTTTTCAATTTTTATATTACAAAATTAACTTTTTTTATTTAATGCAAGTTAAATAAATTATTATTTATAAATTATTATTACCTCCCAAAAGAATGGGAAAAGGATTTTTCATGATTCCCAATGTTTGAATTTCGATTTTGTTAATAATCTTTAATTATTATTATTTATTAATTATTTAATTGTAAATTTATATTAATTTTAATTTATTTTTATCAACAATAATCAGAAAAAAATGTTATTTTATAATGTTAATGATTATAAAAACAAAACTGTGATCAAAATGTGATAATCGATCAAATACTCAATTTGTGTTATTTTATGAATAAAAAAATGGAATATATAATAAAGTTATGAATTTTACTTCATAAATATCCTATATAGTAACTAAAATAACAATTTAATAGTAAAATTTGATTATTTACAATGTTAACATTCATTTTAGTAGAATGGGTAGACTCGCCCCATACGAGAGATTTGTCAGCAGTTCTATAAAAATATACAGTAACAGCGTAACTGTTAATATTTTCTAAAATCGATTTCACAGCTTTAAAGAGGGATAAATAGCGATTCCGAAACACTTATTAAAAACCTTTTTTCTTTAATATTTACAAAAGTTTGACCACTTGAAAGTTGACAAACTGAAAAAATGGGTAGACTCGCCCTGGTTCACGGTACTTTATTTAACAATTTGAATAATTTTTTTGTATTATAACAATTGTTCTAGCAATATTTAATGCTAATCATTGTTGTTTTGGCCTCTTAATATTGTGTCAAAACCAAAGGTTCTCTACAAATTAAAAAATAAAAATTTTAAACTTTTCCCACGCAAACACAGTATAAAATAACTAACTTAATTACTTATACCTTGCACAGTTTTAAACAAATTTTAAAGCAGTATTTTTGTATTTAATTTTAAATTGGTTGTTTAATTTTATTGAATAGGTTTACATTTATAGCAAAAAAGACAAAAAAAAATCAGTCTTTTATAAAAATGTCCATTACATAAATATTAAAGCTAGATTTACGGAATTATGCCCAATTATTGCATATAATAACTAAAATAATTATTACCAGTTAAAAAATTTGTTGCTAGATTTTTTGGCATAAGATGTTCAAATGCACTATTTTTGGTTTTTAATTTATTGTCGGTTTCTCAAACCTCTAAAAGCTTAAAACTTTATTGATAAGTATGAGAAATCACATGATTTGAACAATTCTAAAGTTATAAAATAATTATTTAAGAATTTCTTGAGAAATATGAAAAAATGTATTCGTATAGAAGTGTTTCCATTATTTTGTCTACATATTTTCAAGGCATAAATAAAATTGAAATAAACGTACCCTGTAAAACACTGTCTATACAAGGTGTACAGCTTAGATCTTTGCCTCCTTTAATGCTGAACCCAAAACCTTTATTGTCCCCAGGTTTAATACACAACTTGAATGAACGAGTTTGATTGCACACCTAAATAAGTTAAATGAAATTTAAAATAAAGTATGAAAAGAAAATATTTCAATAAACTAAATGTTAAATTTTACCTTAGTCTGAAGATCAAATGTAGATTTTGCATCACAACATTCCATAGCAGATTGAGAGTTTGAACTGCTTTTGTCATTTTCCATTGTTTCCAGAATATCATTCTCTGGGACATATTCCTCAACATTATGATCATCTGCATTTTCATGATCTGATTCAATCTTATGAGTATCGACAAAACAAATATCTTCTTCAGAAGATATAGTTTCACTATCACAAACATGACCTTCAGCATCAGATTGTTCAGTGGAAGAGTTATTGTCGTAGCCTTTATCACTAATATCAGCTAAAGAACTTTCAGTTGGTGACTGTGGCTTGTTGCAATGATTAAAAACATTTCTCTTGAGCCATGAAAGAGGTTTTTTAGGTACAACTGGAGGCTCCTTTTCCAAAACCTGATAAAATAATAAGGTATAAGGTTAACTATTTTTAAACAAAAAAAAAAGAATATCAGTAAAGATTTTGACATGCTTATGCTTAAAACGGTTCATTGAAGATACTCTTTTGGTAGCACAACAAATTTAATATAACAAAATAAAATACAAAATGGGAGAATCATAAACACAATATTTCTACATGAGCACAACCTACCAATTTTTGGAACAGAATTTAGAATTATATCCTATTTCTCCACATGTTAATAAGACTTATAACAGTACAAATAGGAAACTGTTTATATTTTACTTACATGAAGTTTTTCTCTAGAAAAATGAATATAGTACTTAATATTCCATATAAAATAAGCGCTAACTCCAATTTTATCATAAAAATAAACAGTGTTTTCAACATACCTTAATATTAGTCCCATTACTTTGAGTGCCTCACTTCAGCTTCCATAAAACTTTTATATTTTACGTTAAAAAATAATTTTATGTAATAAAAAAGAACTCATTTAATAATTTTAAAAAAAAATTACAAAAAAAAAAAACACTTTTGTAATAAACTCAAGTATTGTTTTGTTTGCATGCTTCCCTCTTTTAGAATTTAGCCCACAAAAAGTTTCTAGAATTCCCTTTATCAGTCATTTACAACTTCTCTTCAATTAACTCACAGAATCAATTGTTAGACAATTAATTCAAAGAAAATTGAAGTTTCTAAATCATTTATGCATTATAATTATTGCAAAGACTATATAATAAAAATCTTTATTTTAATTCATTATTCAAATGTTATAAAAAGAAACAACTAATATCAATTGTTGGTAGGTAAGAGAAATCAGAATAACCAACTGAACACTAAGAAAAAGTAGTAGCCAGTCTTACAACAAAATTTAATAAATAATCTTCAATATCACAGAGAGTTCCTCAGAAGCCACTCTACTTCTATGACTCTAAGGATGATTCCAGCAGTCTGCCTCAGAAATCTGCCTGATACGGTATTTCAGGTGCTTTTGGATGGAACAAGTTAAGATATTTTTTGGTAGCATTGATCTTGTTTTTAAAATTGAATTTTAATTTTCATTATAATCATACCTTATTTATATACAGAAATCTGGAATAATAAGCTCATTTTAATTTAAAAATAACTTAAAATATAGATACTTCAACATAATTTTTGATAAGCATACTTTATCTGATCTATGTGAATCACTGTCAATGCTCTCAGCTTCAGATGTCATTCCTTCACTTGTATCTGATCGCAGGATAGAGCACTGACTATCTATTACATCATCAGGCTCTGGAGTTCCACCTAAACCACTATCGTCACCTTGACCAATATACAAATCAAGACTGTAACTTCGAGCAGATCTACAAATTTTGAAAAGAAATATAAGAATATATAAATGATCAAAAACTGGATTTTTAAGAAAAAAAAATTTTTCAATTGAAAAATATTTATAAGAATTTTTTTTTATTTTTGTTACTATATTGTTTTTTTTAATAAATATGAAATATTATTTTAGTACTATTGATCAGATGCAAAAGGGACCTATATCTAAAAGCCTATATCAAGTAACATAACTACACACCCTGTTTTCAACTTTTACTTATAAATATTTTCTAGAAGTATTTATATATCTACAACTCCAAGGTTTAAATGATAACATAAATCTTAAGCTTTCAATCAAAAAACCATAAAAAAAAGCAATCTATGTGCACCGTCACATAAATATTGAGGACTTTCCCTATCAAATATCATATACAAACACAGTGTAGAGCCTTATATTATTATAGTCCTCACATTTTTGAAATCAGCTCAAAAGGTGTCCAAAATATCCAAGTGGGAATTATATTTGATCTTCAAGAGCCGATGGGATAAGACTGCCCAACTTATTTTTCACGATAATATTAACTGTTAAATTTGTATCAGTTTTTGTTTTAATCAATGGTCAAATTGTGAACAATTAATAGATAAAGCAGATTGTTTCATTTTAAACATACTATATTTCTAACTATATTGATGACTATATTTCTAACAGCTGTTCTTGGTAAAAATCTTTTATCAGATTCTTCCTAACACGCCATAAAAAAAGTTAAATGCTCCTGGAAATTCTGAAGAAAACATTTAGATTTTGTTTATGTGTGATGGAAAAGCTTGCTAACCTAAGCCACTGAAATTAAGAGCAGATTTTTAATGTTGTGTTAGGTAGAGGGTCGTGATGTTGTGACTTCACAGTGCAATGCAAACCATATAAAACAAACTTATCCATTTCTGATAATTTCAAATTGCTACTTTAATCAATAATTATTTGTACTATAATTTAATTACTGTTTTTTTACCGTTCTTTTTCTCCTTTACATAAGAAAATAAAACCAAAAAGCAAATTTTTTTTTGAAACATAAAATATTTTTTAATTTACCTTCCTTCAACCATTTCAGAAAATTTTTTGATTCTTCTCTGCTGCATAAGGTTCTGTTCTTGTTTGAGCTGTTCATCTGCTTCAATTTGTCGCATTTCTTCAGCTCTCTGTATAACCCTTTCAGTAACCTTTCGCCTTCGAGATTTCCAGTTATCCAGATTCTAAAATTCAGAAAAGAAATTATATTCTGGTACATATTATTTGGGTACAATAGTTTGAAAAAAGTAAAATTTTTTTTAGCCATATGATAATAATGAATAAAACTAGATAAGGCAAATAAAGCACAAGTAAATATAAAATAATAGCACAAATGAATTAGTACAAAATTATTTATTTATGCTTTATTTATGTTGTCTAGGTTTATTCATACTTTGTAATAAGTATAACCCATCGCCATTTAGATAATGAGTATTTCCACATGGAATAAAACTTATAATGCAGAAACTGTATTAAAAGTATGTGATACTGAAGAAGACCAGAATTTTCAAATAATTGGTTGCGAAAAATTTAAAGAAAAATTCAGAAAAAAGTTTAGAAAGCAATATTTGCCTATTTAAAGCAGTTTAATAATTTATAAATTCCATTTAAAATTTTTTTCACAGTAATAACTTATAAGTTTAGGTTTACTGTTAGAGTGATAACTGCAGCTCATGTAAAATTTACAAAATAAAAATTCATATTTAAAACTAGTAACCGACTTTTAATCTAATAACTTCAGTTGCTATAAGAGCCAATTATTTATAAGCACAAGCCAGAAATGTAAGTTGATATGATGAAATAATTGTAGTACAGATAATGTAGTAGGGTAATCACTCATTCAAAACAGTAAATTTAATAAATTCATCTCAATTTATTCAGATTAACCATTCTACAAAAAAAAAAAAAAACATTCCTGCATGGCTTATGGAAGTTAAAGCTTCAAAAATTTTTGACCAACAGCATGATGATTGGAAAAATACCACCAGCACTGCACAAAAGTAACCTTCACTTATTGTATACAAGTTGGTACTCATTGATCTGAAGTTGAATAGGATTTAAGTTGCCATTGAGGTTCAAACCCCAGTTCCTAACAATAATAGCTCAGTGCCTTTAACCATTAAGTCATCATAGCTCAAACATTCTCATATTAATCTGAATTATACTAGAACTTTTACTTAATCTTTTATTCATAACAACTTATTATTTTGAAGAACTAGAAAATATTAGATGGATTTTATGATCATGGCTCTTTATATAATATAAAAAAACAACCAATGAGAAATAAAATTGTTATAGAAGATATAAAAATTGATATTTTTTATAAATACAACATATCCCGACATTAGAATTGTGTACATTTAAAGCAATTTTCTAACCCACAAACTTTACCATCATACTCTGCCATTATTGAGTGATTTAACCTTTTCTTTACGGTTGGTGCAACATGTGGACCACATATGATGGTAGAATATGGTACACCGTAAGCAAAGGGTTAAGCCAATAAAAATGCAATTGTTATTTCTCATTTTTCAATCAAAAAGTTATAATAATATTTTAAAAACCTTTTGTAATATACTAACTGATTGCCATTCCTCTTCTCCTTCTTTTAGAGCCTCTCTACAAATCTTTACTTCTTTAGTTAGCTTTATTTGCAGTTCAGCCTGAAAAAAAGATAAGAAATATTACTTAAACTTATTTATGTGCATATTAACTGTCAATGTAAGCAACTAACAAAGTTATGGTTGAGAACACAATTAAGAATTATGTGTAAATTTAATACATAACTATAAAACCAAATAAAGCATGAGAATTCAAAATAGATTAAAAATTTAATTTTTGACAGATAAACAAACTTGTAATAAAATTTGCATTACAGTTAAGTAAACCAACATAATAATGTTAATTTAATGCATAGTTATAAAAAATATTCATCAAATGAAAAAACAAAAATTTTAACATTAAAGCATTAAAGGAACTCTTAAAAAACATATCTGGTTTGAGTTATTTTTAACTAATCATACTATAGAATTTTTTTCACCCAGGGTAAAGAAAGGCTAATGCCACATGACATTTTGCGGTTTTACTAAATGTACACAACAAGCAACAACAAGTGACTAAATAAAAAGGCTTCTAACATACCGTTGGTATTGTACCAAAATAAGATAATCCAGTTTAAGACACCTGTTTTGAAATAAATTAATGTTTTAAATTAATGTTTTGTCTTATTTTAAGAGTTCTGTAATTTCAACCCTAATAACAGATTAAACATACAGTAAGTTATAGAGTTTAGTTATAGCAATGCGAAGCTGTAGTTTGATAATCTAGTTATAAAAATAATTAACATAACTTGAAATCTAAAACAATAAGAGTTTAAGTACTTTACCCATAATATTACCCAGAAAATGTTAACTGACACTTAAAGAACAGATAACTTTTTTTTCTTCTAACATTTATATATACAGCATATTTGAGAAGGAAAATAAAGATAAATAGCTGGATGTCCAACAAATTTAATTACACTGAAAGCAAAAGAATTAAACGTTATTCTAGTAGTATTTGAAACAATGTTAATTCAAGGAGTTTTAGGTTACTAGGGACTCCATAATTTTTTTAAAAACATTTAGTTTTAATTATCTTTTGTGAGGTTTCAGAATGATTGTCAAATTAACAAATAAAATGGAAATTGCATTATTATGATAGGCAATATAATTACAATAGCTTACTTCTTAAGTTAGAAAAAACTTTTTAAAATATGAAGAAGAAAAAATTAGTAGCAAAAAAATGCACTTTTTTCATGATAAGGCACAGTCCTCTCAGCTGGTAGATTAGAGCTATACTTGTGAGCTGCAGTATTCTATATCATGTGCTTTATGAACCAGATGTTCTATAGCAGTGATAAAATAAAGATATAAATAAATGTTGCTTAGTCAAATAAAATCTATTTAAAATACAAACCTTTTTATATAATGGAGACTGAACCTTTACAAATTGTAGGGGATTAGAGGGTGGTTTAGGTGCTTTTGTGGCAAGCCTAGTGGGAATGTATTCACCCATTTTTGGTTCATTACAGAGATTATTTGAAATACCATAACCTCCGCCAGAACTACTACTGCCGCTGCTTTCAAGACTGTCCATAGAGGAGGAGCGAGCATGTTTGTTATCTCCATAACTTTCACTTGTAGGTGTTACAGATTGCCAAGACTGCAGGGTCACAGTTGCTCTACGAGGGACTACAGGAGGAGGCTGCTTATTTGAAGCTAGATGTTCACTTTTCTTTGTTTCTTCATCTTGATCAGACTGAAACAGTGCAGTACTGCCAGGCATTTTTAACCCAGGAAATAAAATCTAGAACCCTTCAAACCCTTCTTATCATCCATTGAAAACCACTTGTTAAGTCATCTAAAGAAAACAAAAATTAGATTTTAAATTATGAATTTATTCATTATAAATAAAGTATATATGGAGAGTGTTTTCAAATACAAAAATAAATATTAACAAATGCTAAAGCATGATCCTGTTTATTTTGGATTAATGCTAAAGCTTAATCCTGTTTATTTTGGATTACAAAGCTACTATCCACACAGTCACAAATTCCCCCAAACATCTTTGACTAATCATTTATACAAAAAAGCTGAATATTCTGAAATCTAACAGATCTTCAAGATAACTAAATATCCATGTAATATTTATCAGAAATCCAGGGGTCACAATTATGTGATGTTCAACAGATATTTGGATATTGTGACATCTGCTGTATATCCCAGAGACATCTGACTGATTTATGTGACTTACTATTGATATATCCAGCAAATAATATTGATATCTAAGGGACTTCTTTCAGATATTGATTTCTATAATCTGGAAATCGCAGAGATGTTCTTATTTCACATTGAAGAGTTAGCCTAATCCTTCAAAAACATGATTATACTAAATTTAATGACCTACTTTAAAGAGAAAGTTTAAGCTTCACATCCCATTAATTTTATGAACAAAATTACTACGAATATTATAAAATGTAGATAACTAAACTCATAATGTTAGATTATTTAATTTGGCAGAACAAATTTATGAAATTTAAATTTTTTGATAGCAATTTTTATATAAAAACTTAAACTTTCACAAATAATTAATAATTTATAAACAAAAAATATTGGAGAGATATGGAAGTGTAAAATAAAAAGTTTTATGATAAAATTTCTTCCTATTGAAATGAAGTTTTATCATAATAAGTTGTTATAGCTTATTATGATATCCTTCATGTAAAGATAATATTATTGCAAATTAAAAACATTCAACATATGAAGGCAAATGACTACTATACCTCAGAAAGATAAAGGATAAAAGAACAATGTCCTCAAAACATGCATTGGTTGCAAGCTTTTTATAAATTGAAAGATTTATAAAAAAAAGTTATTAGTACATAAAAGTTAAAAATATATTAAATATAAAAAAAAACATGAAACATTTTGTTTAACCCTTTCGAGCCGACTGTCACATATATGTGACAGCAAGAAACGCGCTCACTTCCCGGCCGACACACCCGCGTGTCAGAGAGTTTTCTCGTTCACCCCCGACCGTCACTTATTTGTGCCAGCGTTTCGGAACGTTTTAAAAAATGAAATTTCTTCCAAAAGATGGCATTGTATGTCCATATGGTTTCAGATACATGTAGATTTGACCTTCTACTCAAGATGAAAGTACATTCACGTGGTTTTTAGGGGAAGGAGCGGAGGGGGGGAATGTTTTATGAGGGCTCTTTAAATTAGCACGTGATATTTATTTACAGTAAGTAAGGGAGTTTTTTTTATCTCTCGCTACTTCTGATTTTCGGATTAGTTTTTAGTGGATAATTAGATCTTGTAGGCTTGAATTTTTTTTCTTTTTACCGTTAGAATGTCGAAGCGTCGAAAATTTTTAACTGAGCTGTAAATAGAGGAAATTATGCAAAATATTTAAACTTATTAATATTTATATTACATTTAAACAAGAAATAACTTAAGTAAATAAAGTATCCATAGAAATATATATAAAGCATATGTCACTTAAATACTCTACAGAACAATATTAAACAACGCGCTGATATATCGGTAATTTCATGGAATTAGGCTTAACATCAAAAAGCCCTCCGGCCCTGGGGAGACACACGCTAGAGAGACTGCCGGCCTCAGCGGTAAGCGCGCTTTCGCGCTTTGCGTCGCGAAAGGGTTAAATAAAATTAGTTGTTTGTGGAAGGTGTGTAGTTAAAACAGTGTGCAAAGCTAATTTTTTAGCAAGAAAAAAAAATAAAATATCTAACTAGCTACAAGCAATTCAAATTTTTTTTTCTTGTTTTACCTGAAAAATTTTTAGCTTTGGATATTATGACTCTGGAAACCTTTTTGTATATTTTTTCTTTAAAGTTTCTTTGAAAAAGAATGCAGTTTCTTAGTAAATTATCAAAGAAATTTTTGTTTGTAGATGAATAAATATCCTACTAAAAAGTAGAAAAGCTGGAAATATGTATTATTGAAAATTCAATATTTTCTAAAAAATCTGAGCAATTAAGAAACAAAATATTTGCAAGAATAGTTCAAATATTTGTTATTGAAACCATAAGAATTTTTCTATTACTTATTTGAAAATTGCAACAATTAGTAGCACAATAAAAATTAATTCTGTCTCAAATTCAACAGAAAAACATACTGTTTATTTTATATTTAATGTAAGGAAAATGACCACTGAAATTATGAATAACAATTTTACATAATGTTATTGTTTATTTCATGCTATTTCAATAGTATTCCCTTTTAACAAAAGCTTTTTTAGGCTTTTGGAGACATTTTATTTGGTTAAAAAAGAGATAAAATGAAAGCGCATTTTTTAAAATTAAATAATTTACTTATAATTATTACAATAAATTTAGTCGAAACCTCCAGTTATTAAATTTTTCAACATCGATAAATTTGTTTGAAACATAATTGAGAGATGGCGACACTAGTACAATAAATTGTTAGAAAAAGCTCCTAAGTCTGTTCAGTGGAAAGATAAAAAGATCCTTTTACAACGGAAACAAAATACGATCTGCTGTTTTCCCTCGATTTATTCAGAAAATATATTGCTTCCTGATTCAACAGTAACGTTATGAATGTTTCTTGTCACGTGACCAGCATGATAGTTTGACTTAGAAGTTAAGTTCGATAAAACTATTTCTGACCAATCATAAAGCAAATATTCTCCGTTTAATGGCAGTGGAGGAGAGAAAAAAAGGGGATCGAAAGATAAAAACTTGATTTCAATATAACAAACACTCCGTGACAATTTTATGTTAATATTAAGCTGATTGAACAATGGTATACTAGTTTTAATTACGAAATGCACATATTTCGAATTACTTAATTGCATTTATAAAGTAATTTCGGGATTAAAATTCAAAACTATGATTCGATCTTTATCAGTAGTCGCTTTTAATTCATATTTGTTATCTGTTACTTATTACTCATAAAAATAAATTGCCAATATTTAATTAACTATCATTTTCTACAAGGCAATTGCAATTACATTATCTCATTACAGTTCTTTATACGAACCAGTGGCGTACATAGACTTAAGTGTGCGCCCTCTCCTGCAAGATTTTATAAATGCTTAAACCAAATTTTTAACCCTATCTTTAACCCAAATTCTTAGACTTAACCCAAATTTAAAATTATTAGTCAAGAACACTATGAAGAGACATTCGGGTATTTATAATAATTCATTTTATAAAAAATTATATATTTTAATTTAAATAATTTTTATTCAAATTATTTTAATATTAATACGGAATTGATAATCGCAATGGAAAGGCGGAATTAAGAAAAAGTACTTAATTGGAACATTGTATACTATATTGAAATGAAATTTGTCTTAATAATGCGAGAAAATGACTCACTTAAGGGTTAATTTTATTGGTAAAGTGAATTAAAACATATCTTATGAAAGAAAAAAATATTTTTAATGTGATAATTTTAAAATAAACATCTGTGTTTCAGACACAATTTTTAGTTCATTAGTCAACTTAACAATATAGTTGCATAAAATTAAATTTTTTTAAATAGAAAAATTTATTCAAAACTTAAGGAAACCCAACTGATACTTTTCAAAATATAAATATTTTCTTTTTATAAAATAAATAAATAAAAAAGATTTATCGAAAAAAATAGAAAGATGAGGAAAAAGTGATGTTTTTTTTATCACATCACGTAACACAAAAGTGTATTTTAAAACAAATTAACTGAAATGTTAAATTGAAATGAAATTAAAGAAAATAAAAAATGGATAAATATTTCATTGAGCAATATAAATGCGAATTAAATATTTTAATTAAAGAAATTGTATGGGGTCTAAAATGATTTAAAATAAAACAAAACACATTATGGCTCAAAATAAGATGCAACATTCAGTTCTGTATAACTTTAGGACATATGTATTTTTCATCTTTATTTTCATTCATTCTCGGCTACGGATGTTTTTCTAGTTTTGTTCCTCATCTTATAAGCGCCTATTTTTGAGCTTTTCAAACATGTGGATTGTTATATCCAATTAGTATAGATTTGAAGCGAATGGAGTTTTTAACACGTTGAATGCCATGCTAATTTTACATGTCTTGCCCGTCTGGCCAAACTGTAAATAACTACAAACTAAATTTGCAAATATGACAGATTTTGCTAGTTTTTAAAAGGTTTAAAATGACACATCTGGAAAAAGTGGTAAATTATATAGATCTACGAATTGTTTAGAAATAGTGGTGGATAAAAATTTAGTAAATTGAATTTATTAAACCAAGAATCACAATTAATAAACTACCACTTGAAAATATTTATTCGCTGTCCGGAGCAAGTTGGCATCTCTGTGTATATAAATAAAACTATTTTTGTGTGTTCCATATTTTATTAATTTCCTCAAACCATTTTAGTAACGATAATAATATAAAAGAATTAAAAGCATTAAAATTTTACTCGAATTATGTGTTTCTAATAATCTTGACTTCGCCGGTAACCGGTAACCCCCGTGGCGCTACGAACAAACTCAGTGCAGGTCACCGGTGACTCTCATGGCATTCAACGTGTTAATCTAGTAACCTCTTATTTATAGTTGATTTATGTACACAACGCGTAATTTTTTAACCCTTAACTCGACACTTCTCAAAAAAGAAAAAATAATAATAATTTTCATATGCAGGATTGGTCGAGGAATCGGGAGAAATACAGAAAAATAATGTTAAAAATTTTTGAGGGGGAAAAACATTTTTGTCATTTTGCACAATGTTATAAATTCATTGATATCCAAGGTAAACAATAGACTCTTTGCAATAACAAACACAAAATCATCAAAAAACCTATAAAAACTGAAATCTAAGAAATGAAATGACATAAGCTTCAAAT